TACAGGGAATCTTTGCTTAATGACAAGTCCATTTGAATGAGCATTTGAAGTTACAATGGACTTCAAAACTACTTACAACCAATCCTCGAAGTTATGATTGCCATACACACACATTCCGGGCCATGTGATCACATTTCAGGCTGTTGGCAACCGGCTTGCATTTATAACCAATTCTAGCATCCCACAGTCATGTGATTGTGATTTGCAACTATTTTGTCATTACGGCAAAAAACACCGATTAGATATGCTTATATTCACTTAACCATGTGATTCGCCGAATAACCATCGTGACTCACTTAATGACAGTTGTACCAAGGGTCATAAAATACAGTCAGGTCAACAATTTATTATCATAATTCCAGGGTCAATTGTGGTCCATAAATCAAGGACTGCCTGTAACCATCAACACAAAATTTTTCTACATTTATCTGTATTTTAAAACTCAGAACTAAACACATATATTAGTATATCAAAGTCAGACAAACAGAACAGGCATGGAAAAAAAACAATTGGCAGCACAGCAGATGAACTAAAAGCTGTCAATAATCCTTTATTGAAACAAAAGAGTCAGTTTGATCTAGTAGTTAAGGCATCAGGCTAAAAATGAGAAACCGTAAATTCTAACCGTTAAACATGAAAGCCAGCTGGGTAACTCTGGGCCGATCACACTCTCTTTCAGCCCAAGCCACCTCAGACAGTGATTGTGGTGAGGCAAATAGGAAAAGGAAGGGATTTTAGATATATTCCCTATCTTCAGTTATTTCTAAAAATAATAAAGGTGGGATAAAAATAAATAATTATTCTTTCATGTTTACTAGCACATTTATTTCAAAAGTAAGTGACATTCATAATGTTGTCAGATCACCCCACTTCATACCTATTTTTGAATTTTAAAAAATCAATATATATCACTTTCATCTTATATCTGTATTCAGTTTTAAAGCATTTAATCATGATACCTGAACAAAAGTATAGAACCTATTTTAAAGCTTTATATTATGATCAATAACAAGTCATAATGCAAAATTTTAGCATTGTTTTCTGAATCTTGATTTAAATTTAAAATTACAAAACAGGTTTGAGTTTCATGCTAAATACACATAGTCCTCAACTTGCAATTGTTTGTTTGGTGACCATCTGAAGTTAAAACAGCAATGAAAAAAGTGACTTATGATCATTCTTCAAACTTAGAACCGTTGCCTCTTCCCCATCAAAATTTGAACACTTGCAACTGGCTCATAGTGTCCTTGGTATAGTGTCCTGGGTTCCTTGGATTTGCGAGTCCCTTGGACTGCAAGGTGATCAAACCAGTCAGTCCTAGAGGAGATCAACCCTGACTGCTCTTTAGAAGGCCAGATCCTGAAGCTGAAACTCAAATACTTCGGCCACCTAATGAAAAGGAAGGACTCACTGGAGAAGAGCCTAATGATGGGAAAGATTGAAGGCAAAAGAAGAAAGGGACAAGAGAACAAGGTGGCTGGATGGAGTCACTGAAGCAGTAGGTGTGAGCTTAAATGGACTCCAGAGGATGGTAGAGGACAGGAAGGTCTGGAGGAACATTGTCCATGGGGTCACGATGGGTCGGACACGACTTCACAACTAACAACAACAACAAAATGTCCTGAGGTTATGCGACCTACTGACTAGTCAATGGAGAAGCCAGATTCACTTAACAACTATGTTACTAATTTAACAACAGCAGTGATTCACTGAACAACTATGGCAAGAAAGGTCGTAAAATGGAGCAAAACTCATTCAACGATTGTCCTGCTTCACAACAGAAATTTGGGTTTCAATTGTAGTCATAAATCGAGAACCTGTACGTATACTTTGGGTATATATTGCCTTGAATATTCTTCTGCAATCCTTTAGTGTCAATAATATATGTAGCCCTTATATACAGAAAGGGTTCTTTTCAGCATGTAAATTAATTTACATCACTTAGCTTGTGATGAATCAAATGACTCTTCTGACTCAATGCCTTCTTTACTTTACTTTACTTTACTTTATTCAAATTTCTATACCGCCCTTCTCCTTTCGGACTCAGGGCGGTGAACAGCCAAGATAAAAACATCTATACAAAACATCACAGTTAAAAAATAAAGTTAAAATAATTTATAAATTTGGCCCATAATTTAAAACTTGTCAATTTAAAATCAATATTAAAATTTTAAAACTAACCCTAAAATCTAAATGTACAAATAGTGATAAGACAGAAGCAATAAGGATATCATGCAGAATTATTGTTCACTACCATGAAAAGGCTGGTTTTTAATAATGATATTCAGTTTGCATAATGAAGCCTTTGATTTTTTTCGGGTTTTGATTTTAGGGGTACCCTTTCAAAATCAGCAATTAGTACAAACATGAATGAATGTCATTCATGAAAACATTTCTCCATCCTACAGTAATAAATAAACAAACATTTCTGCTTTTGTCATATATATGATCTATTAAAAATTATAGTAAAGCAGTGTGTGCAATATTAGAACAAAACAAAATAATTACTTTGATACATTTTTATTTAAATAATGGATATATGCTATTTCTTCACAAATCCAAAATGGCATTTCAGTTGCATCAAATCTGATGGTCTTGAAATCATGGTTTATATACCATAATAATAAAATACTCTGTATTTAAAAATGTAAAAAGAAATTTGTAATGAACAGAGTAAATATATCAATGTTGGTCTTTCACGTTTATCAGTGATCATATATTCTTTAAAAAAAATTCTGAAAATCAAATAACCATTATGATAATAAAATGAAAGATAATATTTACCTGCTTAAAGTTTGGGCCTTATAATAACTTAAACTTTGAAGCAGTTGCAGCAAATAAAATTAATATTTCATTCATTTCATTCATCTAAAGAAACTTACTGACAAATATTCATACTTTTATACCTATTAACCACAAAGATATAAGTATAGATCTTTCTAATACTTAACTAAGTATTAAACATAAAGATATCCTGCCTAAATTATACTTTGTTTCAATATTTATCCCTGGAAAATTGTGATACAATTGTTTAAATTAATCAATCAATCAGTGATTCCCAACTGGCCAATCAGCAAAATTGCATTATCTCAAGTTATTACACAATTCCTCCAAGGACTCACTTCACACTGACAATGTTTTGAAAGGACACATGAAGTTTCTTTTTTTATATAAGCTAAGTGTCGTTATCTGTTTATAACATGCAAACACCATGTCTCTACTGAATTCCTTGATGTTTAATGATATCCTTTATCTATTAAGGAACAGACAGAACAATCTACATTTCTCATTATTACTACCTAACACATTAAATAGTGCAAGAAGTAATTTTAAAACCCTATTAGGACATTAAAAATCACACCATACAAAATATTATTTCTCCCTTTCTATCCAGAAATCATTTTCGGTTTTTATTTCACCAAGAGAAAAGATTTTTAAAACATCCAGGGAGTTGTCACTGAACAGTGAACATCACTAATTAATCAATATCCAATATGACACTAATGCTACAAATTACCTTCTCTAGAGAATGGTTTAAAAAGAAATGAAACAGAAAAGTTTGTTGTTGTGGCAAGCCATTTAATCAATCTACCATCTAAAACTGCCTAAGAAATAGCGTTTTCCACAAAAATGTTAACTGATATTCCCAGAAACCAATCCATGGTCTTCTGAATAGTCAAATGAAAAATGAAAAATGCCCGCATCCATTTCCAGTTAAGCCTACCTGACACCTTCATACCCATCTTACAGCTGCATAAGTACCTTGGAAGCTCTTACTATCAAGCCACAGAATGTATTATTTTTTATCACAAATCCTATTGATTCTACAGCTATGAAGATCTAGAATAACTCTCATTTCTAAATGTACATAGCACCATGTTTCTAAATGATGTACATAGCACAAATGTATATGCCGTGAATCACTTAGACATTAAAATACATTGTCTTTGGATCAGCATTAAATTAGTTTCACAACAGCAAGAAGGAACATCCCATCTATATTATGAATGCACCATTTCAGTGGCACGATGTGCTTATGATGGTGCTAAACAGTTAGTGATGACATGGTGATTTCAGTTATGATAGTGAACAAAGAAAAGTAAAGGTAGAAATAACAAGGACATTACTGCAGAGTTCTGGAAATAAAACTCGCTCATGTTCAGTGCCTTGTATGATATTCCCAATCCTGCAAATGCTTGCAACCCCTTAAGGATCAAAACATTTCTCACAGCTTAAGATTCCATGGACTATTACAGTTACTGTATCATGAAACGTTTTGATTAGAAGTGATGTCCATGGACGCCTCTACCAAGTCAAGCTTGGGAGTCCTAAAGATGCCACAAGATGTTTTTGTTGATTTTCATTTAACATGCTAGCATAGCTCCCCCTGTGGAAACTGTTAAAATACGGTTAACATTTAAAAAAAAAAAAATTCCTCGGGAGACAAATTCAGGCACAGCAGCATGGTAGATAGACGGTGTGGCAAAGCAATTACAGTCTAAAAAAAAAAATTCCCGTGGCTGGATAGTCGGCAAGGCACCGCCGCTGCCTAATCCCAGTGACTGGGAGGGACAACCCCATCAATGGGACAACCAGCAGAATACAGGCAACTGACTCAGCCCGAAGTTCTGCTTCTTTTTCCAGCCAAGCCGCATCGGGAGGGAAGAGAGGAAGGCTGGACTTTTTAAGCATCTGCCCGCTGGTTTCTCAAATTCCTTTGCCCTGGTCACCCGAAGGAAAAAAACCTTTCCTCAGCATCCCCTTCGCTCTGTAGACAGAGCGGCGCTTGGGCAACCTTCCCCTCAGGCAGCGTTTTTTTTTCCCCCTATTCCTTCCTCCGCCGACCAAAGAGGGACGTGCCGGGTCTGAAGGACCCCCCGCCGCGAGCTGAAGGCGCGCGCCCCTCCTCGCTCCACACAACTTCCCCCAAAGTCAGGCGGAGAGAGTCTTGGGGAGTCTGGGCGCGAGCCCTCCCTCCGCCCTCCTCTCAGCACACTGACCTTGCTAAGGCGATGCAGGTCCGGCAAAATCCACCGCTGGGCGCGTGCCGCGGCCTCCTCTCCGTTCCTCCAGGCAACTTCTTCCCTCGGGCGGACCGGCGAGCCTCCCAGCATCTCTCGTCGCCAGACCTCAAGCGGAGCTCTTCTTCTCTTCTCCTTCCTCTCCTCTCCTCTCCTCTCCCCCCACCCCACCACTCCGGGCTCCCGCCTGCTTGGCTCGTGGAGCCCCTCCCTTGTCCTTGCCTCCCTCCCCCCCTCACCTCAGGCAGACTCCCCAAGAGCTGGGGAAGAGCTGGGGAAGAGCCGGGCGAACGGTCGGAGGGGGCTCGCTCGAGTGGGCGCCGCGTCTCCTAAGCGCTCGCTTGCGCCTCCGCCGTGCGCTGCACCACACACCGGGCGAAGGAAGGCGGAGCGGGCCAAGGGAGAGCGGGAGGGAGGGAGGGGGGCGTGGTGCCCCTGACCTGCCGCCTTCCCTTGCACAAGCCGCCGGGTTGATATTCAGGGTGGCAGAGCGGCGAAGGCGGCGGCGTCTGGATCCGTTTCTTCGCTTTGCTTCGGGGCTTTCCTGCTTAACAGGAGGAGGAAGCCTGATTTCCGCTGCCAGACCGTCCCTCGCAGGGTGGCACGAGACGAGCATCACCCGAGAGCCGAGCCAGACCTGCGGGCTGGTAGCGTTTCCGGCGCGCGTTGCAACCCAGCGCAGAAAACCCCCCTAGATGCGGATGAAATGATGAGCAGCCGCAAGGCCTCGGGCTAAAAACAAACAAACGAAGAAGTTGGATTCAACTTCCCTTGGAGTGTCCCGAACACGCGTTACAACGGCTTAAATCCAGGGTTGGAAGCTTCGCCGTAGCCCCGCCAAGAAAAGTCCTGTCCCTTGGCAGTTTGGCGTTGTTTTTCTTGCTGCCCTTGCGTTGCTACAACTTTTGGACGAAGAAAGGCGGAAAAGATGGGCGTGAACTCCGAAAAGCTCGGACGAGTCAGACGACCACAACAGGGCAAGAAAATATGTTGTCCATTTCCCTTCGGCTGTGGCATTCTAAAGTTGGCTTTTGGAGACGTGCCGTTAGGACGAGGACGCGGTTTGAGAAAGAGCCGAGGAAGCTTTTTGGATGAGAAGCGAAGCGTCTTCAAAGAAGGACCAGAAAGTCCGGTTGCCTCTTGAAAAAGCACCTTTGGGATAACCATGGCTGGGATGACTGAGAAACTCCATAGAGCCTTTTGAGAAAATTAATTAATATGCTGCAATATTAAAATTAAAGTGACCCAATTGTGCATACTCTCGGGATACTGTATTGAAACAACAATAGATCTGAGTGTGCTAACTTTCAATCAGTTGGGCAGAACAGGCATCAAGTACTGTACCGAATATCTAGCACTTCAGTTGAAGCTTGGCCCTGGGAGGACTTATAAATTATAGCAGTTTAATTAAACTCATGGCAAACCCTATCCCAAAGGCATATTGTGCTGATTACTCGCCTGTGTTCCTCCTTGTTTTTGCAGCTTCTGAAAAATGTGCAGCTCATACAAAATCTCTGGAACAATAAACTTTTAAATTTAAGCAGCAGCTTCCAGCAATAATTGTTTCAAAGTCTGTCAAAGAAAAAGAATGCCCTCCAGTATTGCCTTTAGCGCACTATTAAGTAATTAGTAACTACTTCACATTACACACAAATGGATCATCACATCAGTAATACTGCAGAATGCCACTTAATAATTACCTAACTTCTGTACAACTGCCTTCCCAATTCATTTTCAACCCAGCCTTTCCCTCTAGTTTTCCAACCAGAAAAAAAAGGCAGGAATTTATAAGAGATTTAGCTGATATTTGATAAGTCAGAGGTGGGTTTCAGCAGGTTCTGACCAGTTCTGGACAACCGGTAGTGGAAATTTTGAGTAGTTTGGAGAACCGGTAGTAAAAATTCTGACTGGCCCCGCCCCCATCTATCTCTGCCTCCCAAGTCCCTGGTAATCAGGAGGAAATGGGGATTTTGCAGTAACTTTCCCCTGCCACGCCCACCAAGCCATGCCCACCAAGCCATGCCATGTCCACCAAGCCACACCTACAGAACCGGTAGTAAAAAATTTTGAAACCCACACTGAATCAAGTCTATTCTACTTACCAAAATTTTCTTACAAATTCATTTCTTATTTAAGTTGCCATAATACACATTTGATGGTCAGGAGAAAGAATGAGCCCCATAGCATATCTTATCTCTCTTATCTATCTTATCTATCTTAGCTCAGAAAATTTGCATATAATAAACCAAGCATTGCAAGTCTTGATACTTCCAGGACTGAACAAACTATTGGAAAATTGTCATGCTGAAATATTCACAAATGAATTCACAATGGTATATTTTGCCTATAATCAGTGTCATCAAATTATTTCTATACAATTGGCCACAATAAATACAAGTAATTAAAATATTATTTATGTTCATTTCACATATTATATATCATAATAACAGTGTAAAATAGGTGGGTAATTGTGGCATTTCAGATTTTCAAGGCTCCTCAATTGTATCTAATATAATCCTGCAGACTATGGTTGATGGGATTACATCCCACAACATCTGGAAGGCCAAACACTGCTTAATTCTGATGTAAAAGATTCGTTTCTAATCTAATTACCTCAGAATTCTCTATTTCTCCTCTTTGAGTTCACAAAACTAGGCACTTGAACCCATTATAATTCACCTCAGTGTGCTCAGTCCTAGATATGTTGACTGTTGTATTGCACAGCATCTATTTTAAACACTTTCTTTATAGCGTTTATTCATTTATTAATTTTAACTGCAAGAAACTTAAATTTCCGGTTGAATGTCATTCATTTTCTTTAATAGCAGGAACTGTAATTGCATGTCTATCCACTGAACTGGCAAGTAAAACTCATTTAACACCGTTGAATATATTTCTAGGTAGATCTGAATAGGAATGAGTTAGAAAGAGTGGTATACCTGTGGTGATTTTATTCCTTTTATTTAGAATACAGTTAAGGCCTGGTTTTAAGGCCCAATTTTATCAACTATCTTTGGGTCACTTTAGAAGTTAGAAGTTCTTTATCTGCACTTTGAAAGGATCTTGTTGATCTTGAAGCAGTAATATTATAATATTAGCCACTGAGAAACATGACTGGAAAAAGACTGAAGTAATCACTTTGTAACTGCTTGGCATTGGTTAATTTCATCTAGTACATATTTTATGTCATTATAAAAATAGGTTTACATATTGGATCTCTAAGGGCAATTAGGAAAAATGTTCCTATTTTTATTGTTGTTTTTTTGCTTGTTTATTATTTGTTATTCCATTAACATGGAAACTTAAATATCCAAATTATTATACATGCATTTCAAATTTTATATATTTAAGAATCTTGGCTTTAACATTCTTCTCATTTATTAATTTTTATAAAATAAAATACCTATCCAATTTTCCAATCCCAGATTATTTAAACAAATAAATAAAAATAAATGCATCAATTAAATTATTAAAAAAGCAAGATTTTAAAGTACATTAAGAGCACAGTAGCTTTTGGTAGCTTTTTATTGCTTCCATCCTAACAGAAAAGGGCCTCATGAATTTTCATGAGGTTGCTCTATAATGATCATGTCACCAAAAAAAAAAAAAATCTTACTCAAACGTGTTTCTAAAATGCAGTATAAAAGATGATAGGACATAGAGCAGAATGTTGTATATGGAATAAACAACTATATTCCAAACCTTGTAGATAATAATAAGTAGCACATTGGATTGTGCCTAGAAATGAGGTGGGAGTCAGAACAAATGATCAGAAATGCTGGTAGGACATATTGTAAAAAACAAACCAGAAATAGACTTTATTGTTATTTTTTTAAACAGCAGAAATCTACAACATTCTCTTCAAGGTCTGACTACAAATTTCAACAATCCCATTTGTATGCATTAAATGAATGAATACAACATTAAGTAACGCTCATTAAAAGAAAGGCTGCGGGATACTCACAAACAGAAACCAAACAAGTTAATTTTGCTTCCAGGACCATTCCCAAACTATGGGTGGGATGGTTCAAGTAAAATAAAACTATACCATACATCTAAGCTCAGATCATGTTTGTACAAATTAGCAATTTGTCTTGTATGTCTGGTAACTGGTTCATCCTTTAATTTATTTTTTTCTTGGTGGTGGTTGTGATTATGGGTAACCCAGGCTGTCATTCTACAAGGCACTAAGTTGGAGGAAAAACTGTTCCAGAAAAAAACTCCACTCCCACAGGTTTAGGTTTTATATTTCTCTAATTATGTATAAGTTTGGGCAGGTCAAGATTTTTTTCTTGGAATTGAGACTGCTACCTTCTTCCATGGTTAAAAAAAAGATTAATAATAGGCTTCTCTCTCTCTCTCTCTCTCTCTCTCCCCCCCTGTCTTGTATGTATATGTATGTGCATATATATTATATATATATACATACACTCAAACACACACATATATATTTATATACATATATATTGACACACACCAAATACCACAATGAATTTTAAAACAACTCTATCAGGTTACTAATTAATTTGAAATATCTGATCTGTTGCTGCACTGGTTTAGTTGTAATGTTTCTTCCAAATAAGGTAATATCTCTATGAACAGAAATTCTTCTAGGAAACAACTTTCGAATCTACCAAATTACATCCACTAACCTCTTTTTCAGATTTTTTTCCTACTACTCTACCTTGATCCCTGTGTGAAGAATCCCATGAATGATTCATGTCTCTTTTATATGCCAAAGCATATAAATGCCGTATATACTGAAACAAAATTCCCAGAATCTTGGCTGAGAGTTCTGGCATTGGTAATCCCCAAATAAGTGACTCTTAGATAAGGAACAATTGGTTTTGGTTCTTCCAAATCCAGCATTATGATATTATTAATTTATTAGCATAAATTATTTAATGTGAGTTAATATTGCTATTTCAACAAGCAGTTCCTGGATAGGTTTTAGTGCCATATTAATTGAAATTAATAGAATGATGTATCTCCATTTTTCACTGCAATCAAACTTTCTTGTAATGAAGGTGAAAGATGTTTATTGCTCCTGTAGCATTCAAAGAGCACTGTAAAAACAAATCTCAAGGTAGGTTATTGTCCTTTGTTCAATGGCAACAAGTTAAAAGTTTTTAAAATCCTTTGAAATAATTTTTTTGCTTGCATAGTAGCCCTTAGAAATTACATTTGCAGG